GAAGCTGGAGGAGCGGCTCTACTCGGTGCTGTGCTGCACCGTCTGCCTGGACCTGCCCAAGGCCTCCGTGTACCAGGTAGGGCCGCTGGCCCGACCCGGCCCGGGCCTCGAGCCCCCGCCTCGGTCGCCCCGAAGTCTGGCCTGGAGGCCCCGGGGCCCACTGGTGGGGACCCCTCTCCCTTCCTTAAATGCGTGTTCTTCCCACGGCGGGACTCCAGTGCCGGTTCGACCTCCTCCTCTTCTTCGGACGTTGTCATTTTCAGCCCTGAACCCCCTGTTCCGTGCTCTGTTCATAGCGTCTCTTGTCTGCCTGCTAGATCCTGTCTCTTCTCCACATTTCCCCTGCCGCCCCTCGGTATCCCTGTCCCACCGCCTCACCTGAGCCCAGCCAGGCCTGCTGACAGATGCACCTGCCCCCTCACTTCCAAGTCTCCTAGGCTCAGGGAGTCTCCTTTTCAATCAGAATTTCTTTATTTTTTTGGCAGCCACACCCCCGTGCCTACCTCGGCCCCCTACTGTACCCCTTTACTCTGCGCTCCCTTCTCTGTTCCCTAGACGGAAGACTCTCCGGTCTTGGCCATTTTCTTTTCAACACCAACAAGGGGGTAAGGGGATCGTTTCTTTTCCCTCCGGGGCTCTTCTGCATCAAGTCCCATCCCTGCCTTCTGGGTCACCGTGGGGAGTCTGTGTCCCATGCTCAGCTCCCCCTCCCCTCCTGCCTCACCACCGCACCCCCCCAGGCTGCCCAGGTGTGTCTTACCGTGAACCCTCCCAGCTAGCTGTAGAGCAGACCTGTGGTTGAGCTGAGACCTGGGGTGGTCTTCTCCTTGGTTCCCCACCCCCCTCTCCGGTCCTCCAACGAATAGAACCAGTTTTCCATTGGCTTCTTTGCACTTAGGAGCTGGGAGCTCTGTGCTGTGAGGCTTCTGTGCAGGCTGGGGACCTGGCTGATGGTCCACTTTCATAGCTAGCCTCTCTCATGGCGGCTGATGTGGGCTGCCCCTTCCTCTTGTGGACCTGCCGGTCTCTTGGTACCCTGTCTGGCGGTTGTTTGGACAATGGGGAGAGGAGGTTGAGCTGTCTGGGGAACAGGTACTGGCTCCCAGCTCACCCTTCTGGGCCTCAGAAAGTTCCTGGCCAGGGGCCCTGGTAAGGAATTCTGAGGCCTCCTGGCCCAGGGCCAGCCAGGGGCACACTCTGCCAGCTGCCAGCTCACAGCATGCAGGCACCACCTGGTGGACCTGCTCACTTCCAGCCTCCTTTCCACGACCTTGTAATTCTCCCAGGTGGAAGAAGTGTCCCTTGGGCCGAAGTCATGGAGGGGGGCTCAGGGGAATTCAGAAGTGTCCTTGTCTCCCATCCACGGGTGGGCTGGAGCCCATGGGGGAGGATGGCCACGTGGTATTGGCACTTGCTGCACATTACCCCCCAGCACATCCATAGCTCTGAGTGGACTGGTTCAAACCGGTCCTGAGAGCTGAGCTCCTTCCTGGCTGAACTCTGGTGGAGAATGAGGTGCTGGGCCTGCCCTGGCCCATGGCCTCCAGGACTCTGCTCTGTTCCCTGGGAGCCGGCCTCGCCAGGAGACACCTGGGCCTTGGTTGCAGGGGTGTTTCCTGTCTAGTGGGATGGCCCTTACCTCTCAGGGGTTACCTGGAGTCCTGCTCTAGGCCTCCCGGCTGTGTGACCTGGGTGGGGTGAGGGTGCACGGTGGTGCTGTACTGAGGAAGGAAGGGCAGCTTATAGTGACCCCTCAGGTGCCAGCTCTGCTATGGGCAGTGTCACTGGCTCTTCTCGCATAGTGGCTCCTGTTTTTCTGACAGAATGTAGGGGGGCAGGTTGGAATGGGCAGCTTGTGGAGTTGGCCTCAGACCTTCTCTGCTCCCCCTTGTCGTCTCGGCCTGGGTTCCTGGCTGAGCCCTGTTAATTGGCAGCTATCTGGTGAGCAGGTCTCAGACAGGCAGTGTGTTTTGCGTTTAGTACCTGTGAACAGCGTCGTCCTTCCTGAGCCTAGCAGGACACAACTCAGGAAGCACAACCACCCTACCCATGGGTCCTGGGGTGCTGGCTCTGTTGGTCAGGGCCTGGCTGTTAACCCCAGGTGGTAGTCCAAGATGTGCCCTCCAGCTCCCCCTCCACGCTGCCAGGGAGCTCCCTTCTGTGTGGGTGGCAGGTTGGAGACCTCCCTCAGGTGTCACATCAAGGCCTGTGTGGGCAACTTTTCTTCCTGCCCAGGCCAGGTTCAGCAGGAGCGTCAGCTTTGATGTCCTCCCATAAGTGATGGGTGTGCCTGAGGCAACTGGCCTCACAAGGTGCCCAGCTACCTCCTGGAGTCCTGGGCGGACAACAAGCAGGGACACTGCCAAGAGCCCCTAGTCATCCAGGCTAACAGGTGGACAGGCAGCACTGTGCCATCGAGTCTCAGAGCACTACCTCTGTCCTGGGCAGTTGCCAGTGCCTGCTCTCTGACTCCCCTGCCAGCCTTGTGCCTGGCACAGAGCTGGCCCTGGCCCTGCCTCCCACCAACATAGGACTGGCCCCGTCCCCCTCTAAGGTCTCCTGGCTGCCCACCACTGTCTCTGGGCCAGCTAACCAACCCAGGCTGATGCCCCCAGCTGAGCAGGGCCATTGCCACCTACAGGGGCCAGTCACATCCTGCTGCCTCCTCCACCTGGGCTCAGCACAGAACTGCTTGCCTGATGCTGTGAAGAGGGGTTGTATGGCTGGGCCAGGCTGTGTGAAGCTGCTGTTAGAAGGATGGGGCCCTGTAGAAATTGGGGCTACAGTGACAAGGGACAGCTACCTTGGTCCTCTCACAGACAGCGGCCCTGCAATTTGGGGGGTGGGTGGGACAGACAGCTGCCTGAGCACTTGTACTGTTAGCTCTCCCAAGTGCTGCTTGAGGAGCCCCTTGTGGGGCCTTCTGGGCTGCAGCCCCCCAGTGGCCTGGCCCTTAGGTGGTCTTCGCTACCTCCTGGGCGTTTGGCTGCAGATCAGGGCTCTAGCAGTTACGTTCTAGGAGGAGGCAAAGAGCTTCTCATATGTGTACCTACGGACCCAGTGACCACACAGGCAAAGGAAAAGAGGGACTGCGAAAGCCGCTAGCCAGGGGTGAGATGTTTGTCTCTTTTCATCTCTTTGGTTCCCAGTGGGGCATGTAGGGGGCAGCCATGTGAAAGTAGATGAGGAAGCTGCAGACCCCAAGATGGGCTAGGAAGTAGGGAGGTATGCCTGAGGTGACACGGGGGGCAGCAGTTGTGCAGGAAAGGAGGAGTGTTTGGGGGCTGCACAGTGTTTTAGGGGCTAGTATCACAAGGAATGGAGTCCTGGTGTGGCGCTGTGAGTTAATGCTCTAGACTGCAGAGCCCTTAGAGCTGCAAGGTTGGTGGTTCAAGCTTACTTGCTGCTCCCGGAAACTCTATCCAGGGTTGCGAAAACTCTATCCAGGGTCGCTGTGGGTCAGAATTGACTCAGTGGCACTTAACCACAACAACAAATCACAAGGAATCTCCCAACAGTGCTTTAGGACCAGGGTTGCCGCCGAGGTCTGTAAGTCTCTGAACCTCTGGGAGAACCCAGACATTTCTGCGGGTCACAGCTTCTTTGAGTGGAAAAGAGTAGTTTGCAGGGACATGTACTCTCAGGCATGAAAGGTGCCTTGGACCCGCTGACCACAGGGACCTGCTGACCACAGGGCCATCTGATCCCCAGGAGCTGGGGGCAGGCCTGTTTTCAAGTTAGTTCCAGTGGTCCATCCAATGCCTCCTTAGCCTGGGAGAAGCTGACAGACCCCCAGTACAGGGAGGGTGGGCCCATGTCCCAGGGTCCAGAGGCGCCCACTGGTCCTTGTCACGGTTCCCCTCGGGGTCAGAGAATGTTGGGGCACCAAGGAACTTGGGCTTTGCTTCTGCACAGCTTGACTGGGTACCTCCTGGGTGGGGTCTAGGGCTCAGGGGTGGGCTTCTGAACTCACACGCTGTGTCTGGAGTCCTTTCCTAGTGGACTAATGGAAGTGACTTCTGTTCGTGTCTCCTGTGTGTCTGGAGATGTGCTGTTAGCCCACATGCCCTCAGTCCTTCATCACTGCCTATAGACCAGGGCGGGTGAGCAACCCCAGGGAACACTGTTGAGCTGGGGGCCCCTGGCATGTGGCACACGTGGGCTCGGAATCAAGCTGTGCCATCTACTCAGGCGCCAGGCCCAACTTCTGGCTCAGTAGTGGCAAAATGGGGGCTGGCCCTGTCCTCCCCACAGACAGCAGCCAAAGTGGTGGCCACTGTCCATGGACAGACCTGCGGGGGGGCATCTCTAAACATCATGTGATGTTCTAACACAGCCGAGCTTCAGGGCATTGTGAACCCTCTCCTCCCAGAGTTCACAGACACCCCCCAAAAAAGAACGAAGTCCATTGGGACCTGGGAAGGGCAGAGTCAAGCCAAGCAGAACCAGTGGCCCACCTGCCCAAAGGGCAGCTAGTGGCCAGCCCAGGCCTGCAGTCAGAGTCACTAAACTTGTCTGGTCATCCCGAAGCTCCACCAGGGAAGTACTGACGGGTGTGCTGGGACGACAGGGTCCCACCTGGACCTTCGGCCCAGCAAGTTAGTTCTCTCTGTCCCGAGTCACCCTCCGCTCTCAGTAGCGTGGTAGGCCTGGGCACGTGCTTGGGGGTTCCTGGGTCTGGTTGGAGAGTTCCTTGTTAGGCTATGCCTGTGGTACCATGGGCCCTAGGAGGGCATCGGCTTTTGGGGTGGCTGGGACTTGTGGCTGTTGTGAGCCTTACCAAGCATGGTCCTGTGTGTCCCTGCCATACTCCAACGGAGGGCAAGCCTCAGGTTTCTCTGTCCCTCTGCCTGACCACCTAATTCAGGGCATTGGTGGGGCTCTGCAGTGTGGAGGTTAGTCCCAGGCTCACAGTCAAATCTCATACCTGCCTCAAATCCCTGGCCAGTGCTACCAGGGGGCCTACGTTGGGTAGTCTGGGCAGTCATTGACCTCTGCAGTAGGGGGCAGCAGACAGTTCTTGTGCTGCCTCCGTCCCCCCCCCCCCCCCCACACCTGTGGTTCCCTGTTCAGTCCAGGGTGAACAGACCAGCAACCCTCCCTGCTCAACCTCCCTCCGGCCCCCGTGTCCTGGATGCTGGGCCTGTTCCCTTCCTTTCTGGGTGTGTCTTAATTTCTGACGTAGCTTGGAACTTGAGGTTTGAATGTGGTGGAGGGAGTTTATGGAGTTAGTGTAACTGAATTCTGCTAGTGAGGCCTGCCCCCCAGCTGCTTGGTATACAAGATCCAGGCCTGGACTATCGGCGAGCTCGGTCATCACACTGTGCTCCTTGGGGTTTATCACCCTGAAGTAGGTGCTAGGAGGGCTGCGAATGCTGAAGGGGTCACGGCACATGTAGGCCTGCCCTTGGGGCAGACCATGTGGTCACGTCCCTCTTCTGCCATGCTGTGTCCAGCTTTCAAGGGACCTGGCCCCCAACGGAGCCCCAGATAGCACTGGAGCAGCCTCCAAATGAAGCCTGTGCCTAGGCCCCCAGGTGAGGCCCAGGACCAGCCTGACCTATCCTGGTCCTTGTACCATGCACGGAGCTGTCAGGACACTTTGGTGTGGGACCCCATGAAACCCTGCAGAGTCCCCTTGAGGGTAGGCTCACAGTCCCTGTGTGTTTCCTTGACCTGCACCAATGGACACAACGTGGGTGTGGGACGAGACAGACCCAGGATAGCAGCCATCCGACATCCACATGGGTGACCCCAGGGCAGGGTCTGCCCTCACCTCTGCACACCCAGAAGCGGGTCTTGCCTGCAGACCTGGGGGGACTGGCTTCTGATACCCAATTCACAGCAAGCCCCGCAGCCCCCATTCTCACTCACCCCCAAAGGCCTGCCCTGCCTGGTGGATGTGCTCTCACTGGGCAGGTGAGCGAACAGGACCCATCTGAGCAGGTGTAGTCCAGACTGCCTCTTTGAAGGCTGAGGTATGGATTGGGCATAGGGGAAGCCGTATCTACTCCTCCGCTAGATATTCCTGGATTTGAGGACAGACTGGGGAAGGGCTCAAGCCCCTATGTGATTTACCAGACCACCTCCCGTGGGGCCTACCTCAGTGAAGAGCTCGACCTCAGCCAGTGATGGGAGCCACGTCCTTGACACCCCATGGCCCAGGAAGAGAACACGTGTGCATCTGCCGCCAGCGACCTGCCTGCCTGGAGGCCCCGAGGATGGCGGCCTGGCTGGGCATGTGCCTAGTCCTGCCAGGTCTGTGAGTGTCATCTCCCTTTCCTTCTCCGCAGTGTACTAATGGTCACTTGATGTGCGCTGGCTGTTTTATCCACCTACTAGCAGATGCCCGACTGAAGGAGGAACAGGCCACGTGCCCCAACTGCCGTTGTGAGATCAGTAAGAGCCTCTGCTGCCGGAACCTGGCTGTGGAGAAAGCCGTGAGTGAGCTGCCATCTGAGTGTGGCTTCTGCCTACGCCAGTTTCCCCGCTCACTGCTGGAGAGGCACCAGAAGGAGGAGTGCCAGGACAGGTACCGCTGGGGCCACCCCCAGGCTCGGGCAGGCAGGTAGGGGGGCAGGTGCGGAGCAGCTCTGTTTATCATGTGAGCGGAGGCCGCTGCAGGGCTGCCCTGGGAAGCTGTATTGGTCCTTGGCTGGGGCATTCAGGGATGTCCCACCACTTGGAGCCAAGCTTGGGGTGCAGCCACGCGGAGAGCCCACCCTGCACCAGGGCACTGACAACATACTCCCATAAGTCTGCTCCCTGCCTCTGTGGCACGTGCATGTGCCCTTTAAGGGGTGGTGCAGCCCAGTGGGAACGCAGGCTGTGATCCAGCCACACCGTCTTCCCCAGGGTCACCCAGTGCAAGTACAAGCGCATCGGCTGCCCATGGCATGGCCCCTTCCACGAATTGACGGCGCATGAGGCTGCCTGTGCCCACCCGACCAAGACAGGCAACGAGCTGATGGAGATCCTGGATGAACTGGACCAGGGCCGCCGCAAGGAGATGCAGCTATACAACAGCATCTTCAGTCTGCTGAGTTTCGAGAAGATTGGCTACACAGGTGAGGCACCAAGCCACCCGCTGCATGCCACTTAGGGCTAAGAGGGTAGCCCCTGCGAGGGCATGGGCTGCGCCGTGGGAGACGCTTGGGGCAGAAGACGATTGGAAACCACAGAGGGTGGGCCGGGCCCCAGAGGGCAGCCACATGGCTCTCAGAGCCTCCTCCCCCCAACCCCCGCTGTCTTCTCTATTGGCCACCGTCTGGCAGGGGGGTGTCCCCGCTACAAGGGGCTCCTCGGACTCGAGACAGGTGGTGTCTGACCAGAAGACAGGCGCGTCTGCTGGAGGTCCCGGCTCATGGCAAGAAGATGCTCAGTGGGCCAGGTCCTGCCTGCTGGGTGAGCGCCTTGGGGCCAGGCCCCCAAGGCCGGCACAAAGCTGACCAGGCTTCAGAATGAACTGAGGGCGCTGGCCCGAACCACAGAATGAAGTGGACGTCCCTGCTGAGCAGCTTCAAGAGTCTTGTCGGCTCCCAGGCCTCCATCTGCCTTTGGACGTGCAGGAGGGCGGGGCCCAGGCGAAGCCAGAGAGGCGCGAGGAGCACCTGCTGACACCACTCGCACAGGGACGCCGATCTCCAGTGTCCACCACGCCAATGGCCAGTTTGCAGCCCAGGTGGTCACACCTCGCTACCTGGGCCAGCCCATTAGATGGGGGCTGTGTGGGCCCCGATGGCTGAGGGCCCACGTGACCTTGGACAGCAACAGAGGCCACGGCCCCAGGTGGGTGCCGTGGTCCAGGCGGTCCAGGCCTCGTGGGGTACGATGGCCGGGTGCGTGACTGCAGCGGGGCTGGAGGCCCTGTTTGTGCAGGAAGGACTGGCCGCCTGGGCATGGGCCCCTCCGCCATGGACTCACCGGTCATAGGCTGTGGGCAGAGCCGAGAGGACTGTGTAGAAGGCAGGGGCTGCCATGGCCTCATGGACCCTCTGAGACAAATGGGCAGATCCCAGCCCCTAGTGAGAGGCTGGCCCTGGGTGCAACGCGCAGTGCAGGCAGGGTGGGTGCTGAATGCCCACCCGGCAGCTTTGTTGGCAGCTCTGTATTGGAACTAATAAAGTGCACTTGTTCTCAGAACTGCACCCTGTCTGTGTGTCTGCTTGCCCCGCCCCACGGGCAGAAGCCTCTCCCCTGCCTGGGCTGGGCCCTGGGTGAGAGCGATGGAGCCGTGGGGTCAGGGGCCCCTGGCCCTGGGCACCAGCCTCTGGCAGCCTCCAGACCAAACCAGTTCACTTGACCTCTGTTTGCAGTTCTTTCCCCAAAGCGTGGACATGCCCTTTCCTTGCTTGCCATTTGGCCCATAGAGCACGTTGCGTGTCCTCCGGTAAGTGCTCATCCTACCTGCCCTGCCCTCTCTGAATGCCATCCCTGCCCTGTCTGTCTCTGCAGAGGTCCAGTTCCGGCCATACCGCACGGACGACTTCATCACGCGCCTCTACTATGAGACGCCCCGGTTCACGGTGCTGAACCAGACATGGGTCCTGAAGGCACGGGTGAACGACTCGGAGCGCAACCCCAACCTGTCGTGCAAACGCACTCTCTCCTTCCAGCTCATTCTAAAGAGTAAGGTCAACGCACCGCTGGAGTGCTCCTTCCTGCTGCTTAAGGGTCCTTACGACGACGTGAAGATCAACCCTGTCATCTACCACTTCGTGTTCACCAACGAAAGCAACGAGACTGAGTACGTGCCGCTGCCCATCACTGACTCCGTGGAGTGCAACAAGTTGTTGGCTGCCAAGAACATCAACCTGCGGCTCTTCCTGTTCCAGATCCAGAAGTAGCCACCCTGCAGCCACCACGCTGGGCTGACCGACCGACCGCGGGCTTGGCGCTCTCACACCGTCACCTGGTCATTTCAGCAAAAGGAGGCAAACATGAACCAAAACACATCGGGAAAAGTCTGCATGCGTGTGGGACATGTGGCTGCCTGCCCTGCCTGCAAGTGGCCCCGGAGGGTCACAGCGCGGGAGAGGGGTGAGGCCTGGCCTGCGCTCCCTGGCTCCACGCTCAGCTCCGGCAGGCTCGGGGTCCTCGCTGACTTCAGATGGGATATTTGGTTGCAATTAAAATGGCTCCCTTGCTTCCTACTTTCTGTTTTGTTGGAGGGGGAAGCATGGCTGCAAGCGGACTGAACAGGAGCCCAGCTCTGGTGTGGCCTGGGAGTCCAGTGGCATATAGGACACCAACAGGAGCCTGCCCTGCACGTCACCTGCACTCCGTGTGCCCCTGGAGAGACTCAAGTTCCCACCCCCACCCTGTCTTAGGGCTCGAACAGTGGGAGAGCCAGGCGGACCAGCCAGCAGGGCTCAGCAGACATTTTCGGGATGCAGGGTGAAATTCTGTCTCTTCCCAGGAAAAAAATTAAACTCTTTCCAGGCTCTTCTGTAAATTATGCAATTTAGCCAGAGAATCTATTTTCTACTCCAGCCTGCCCCAGGGCTCAGTGTCCCTGGGCTGTGGAGCCAGCGCTGGGGACCGTGAGCGGCAGAGAAAGCCTGGCTGGGCAAGGGTCCGCAAAGGAGGTTGGAGGTCATGACCTCTCCCCCCAAAGGAGGCTGGCCCTCCCAGCCTGGGTGTGTGCAGGGACCAGGAGCAAAGTGGCTTTTGTGGAATGGCTGACCAGCACCCTCGTGTCCCCTGGGAGCTGTGAAGCCCCCTGTTGAGGACAGTGGCTGTTCGGCCATAACTGCGTGTTGCTTTGATACCAAAGAACCGGGGTTCCTCTGTCCCCGCACCTACCTGGGTGGTACCTACAGAGGGGGTGTGACCTGGAACGTTGGCCTGAGAGCAGGGTGGTCCCTGCCCATGGTGCCAAGGGGTTGAGGGGTGGGGTGCTGAGCATGGCTTCTGGGTTGGTCTCCCTTATAGGGTGCTCTTTGCCCCTCACAGGCTAGCAGTTTCTCAGCACTGTAGCTGAGAAGCCCGTCTGCGTTCCAGTTCCAGGTAGTCAGTGAGTGGAGGTGACCTAGTCACCAGGGCAGAGAAGGCGAGCTAGGTGTCCAGGCTGCAGTGCTTGGAGAAGACCGTGTCCGAGAAAGGTCTTTCATGCTGCTACGGACATCAAGCCCAACTCCAGGGCTCCCTGCCTGGGTCCCACTAACTCAGCGGCATCCCCGGTTCCCAGCTGCCCCTGGGGCAGAGGATAGCACTCAGGGTAGATAGTGTCCATCAGGGTTGTGTGGGTGGCATGTTGGCCCTTGGAGCCATGTGTGGTGGGGCTGTGTTATCGTATCTCTGTCTGAAAGTATTTCTGGATTCTAAAGGGGCTTTCGGAGGATTGCTCTTGTCCGTCCATATGTGGGTGTCTGTGAGAGAGGGGTTCAGGCAAAGCGGCCCAGCGGGTCTCCTGGGATGGGGAGAGGTGGTGGTGTGGTCCATGGTTGGCTTTGCTGGGGGCCTGGAAGCAGCAGGGGTCTGCATGCAGGTGAATGTTTGTAGCTGCTTTGGGGCCTGAGGATGGAGGTCTACCTGGGGGAGGAGGTAACCTGGCCTGGCTGAGTTGTCTCTGGGGCAGGTGGCTGTGTGTGTGTGTGTGTGTGTGTGTGTGTGTGGTGGTGGGAAGGACTCGTTCGTGCATGGTGTGCACAGTCCCCTAATTTCGGCTGCAGGACCTGCAGATTGAATGGGCAGTGTTTGAGGTCAGGACAAGACCCTGTTGGGAGTATTGATGGGTACCTGTCTGCATGAGCATCACAACATCCCCCAATTCACACAAAGCTGAGTCTTACAGTCTGACCAGCGGGGCATTCTGGAAGATTGTACTAGGTCTCTTGCTGCCACCAGGGAGCAGGCACCCAGAGCTCCAGGCAGTATAGCCACTGTGGGTGACCTCCTTACTGAGGAGTGTCACGCCTTTGAACCTGCAACATCACAGCATCTGGCTTGGTCCTTCTTTGCCCTCTCTGAGGCGCCACGATGCCTCCAGAGGAGAGGGTGAGGGTGACCCCTCCCCATGAGCACTACATACCCCCTTTTGCCTGGAGTCAGAAATTTACAAAGAAAATAAAAAGACTTTTTTTAAAGAGCAAGCAAGAGCTATTTTGACCCTGTTGACAATGACTCTGTGTTGCTTCTGTGGTCTGAGTTCTCTGGATGTTTTGTGTATGTAACTGTAGTTTAAAGTTTTGCAAACCTCGTCCTATCTGTGTTTCCTTAGGAGATACTATTCTCCATGAACGGGTCTGCTCCTCTCTACCAGGGATCCACCATCCCTGCTGGGAGCACTGCCTCACACACAAATCCATGTCTTGTCAGTGGGGACACTGAGGCCTGGGGCAGCTGAGCCCCTGAGTGGCTGGCTGCCTTGGGGTCAGAGCTCCGCTCTGGGTTCAGGGGGAGAAAGCTGGGACTGTAGCTGTCACTGTCCTACCTCCTACACCTGGGCTGGATTGGACAGAGCGTCTCCCAGGGGAGCAGTCTGTGCCCACCTCCACTGGAGCCTTGCTAATGCACCACACGTCAAGCCTGGAGGCTAGATCAACCTGAGCGCTGCCCAAGTAGCCCTCCCTAAACTAGGAGCCCAGGCTGGGCTGCCATTCGCCCGCAGCTCAGGCTAAGGTTCCACCCCATTGGGCCTGTTTTAGTTACGAGAAAAAATCAACACAGGACTCATCCCTCCATTTAGGGATACCTGCCGTGGCATTGGGCAGCTCAGGGCTGGGTTTGGGGAGTAGATAGGTGTGAGAGCTGCCCTGGAGAGCATTTGCTCTTCACAGTTGTGGGTGAAAACATGGAAATTTGAAACTTGGGGCCATGGGCTACCTCAAGTCCACCTGATTGCTAAACATCCAACTAGGCATCACATAGGTGAGGAGCCCCTAAGTTGAAACCCTAACTCCTTGTTACCTCTGCTCATCAAGCATTTCTGCATTTTTAATGACATACACGAACTTTCCAGGAATGCACTGGCATGCACAGTGAGGAAATGGGCCCTTGATGTTCATTTTGGAGGATAAGCACTGGACTGTGAGGTCGTTTGAACTGCAAGGTCAGCGGTTTAAACTTATCAGTGGCTCCTTGAAAGTCCTATGTAGGGTCGCTATGAGTCAGAAAACAACAGCCCCGTTATGGGGGTTTGAGCCACGAAATTGGACTGCATTGTACCTCTCTGAAGCCAGCCTGCATCCTGGAATCTTGACAACTTGTGTTCATGTATCCAAACACTTGAGTGTGGAGACATAGTGGATTAAACATTGGATTGCTAACCTAACTGCAAGGTTGGTGGTTTGAATCTACCTGCTTATTTGTAGGACTCCCATAACAATTGACATTCTCTTCTTATAAACTCTAGGGAGCAGGTCTATTCTGTCCTATAGGGTTGTTAGGAGTTGAAATGGACTCATTGGCAGTAGGTTTGATGTATCATAGTTTACTAGTCCCCTGAGAAAGGACATCATGGCTGGTTCAAGAAGAAGACTTAAGACACAACAAGGTGGACTGACGCAGTGCCTGCAGCAATGGGCTCTCACAGAGCAGACAACGTGAGGAAAGACCTGGCAATGGTGTGCATCCAAAGGGACTCTGGGCCGCAACAATATGCAAGAACTTTATGTTCCTTCTGCTGATTTGTCTATGTAAGCGTCCTGGTGTGGTGCTGTAGGATAAGCACTGGACTGCTAACCACAAGGGTGGTGGTTCAAATTCACCAGCCACTCCTTGGAAACCCTATACAGGGTGGCTATGGGTCGGCATCGACTCAACCGCACTTAACAATAACAATATATAAGCGTTTTATTTTTTAAAATTTCATTTCAATAAGGGTGGTGTTACAGAACATTTGTAAAGAAAAGTGAAGGATTTCGGGTCTGAGCGAGTTGAGAGCCCCCAGGCCGACTGCTCCTTGCCGTCCAAAGCAGGAGCTGGCCAGAGGGACTGAAGGACAGGCCTGGATTAGGATCCGGCAGGGGTCTCGCTACACAGTCGCTGGAGATCCCCTGGGCTCAGTCGACTCTGGGTCTGCGTACAAGCCTGCACTCCCCGCCCACGTCTCCGCCGCCTGCTAGGAGGAACGGAGTTTCCAACGGGCATTTTTTCGGACTCGGGAGACTACATCCAGCCAGAGGACTCAAGGATGCGGTGATACCATTTCAGTTCCAGATTCTCCCTGTTGGCGCCACTTCCGGAACGCTGAGGCAGCTGGACTACGACTCCCAGGATGCTTCGGAACAAGACAGACTACATTTCCCAGAATGTTCCGAGCCCCACCCACCCGCCTTAGTCGCCTACCTAAACCGAGGAGTGGAACTGAGTCTGCGCACGGGCCTGGGGGTGGGGCCGCGGGAGCGCGGGAAGTCCGGATCCCGGTGATTGAGGCGGCCGGACCGCGGTATGAGTTTGGAACGCGAGTTTCGCCGTGAGTCCACTGGGTATCCGGAGACCGGAGAGCGGAACTCAGACGCGGTTGGGACTCCGCTCATTTTGCGCACGCTTTTACTCTTCTCTGCAGAACTGAGCAAGGCCAAGGCCAAGGCCCAGCGGAACGGGCAACTGCGGGAGGAGGCCGCCCTCTGCCACCAGCTGGGGGAGCTCCTGGCCAGCCATGGTGAGTGCAGCTCGCCGGAGCCCGTCCCGCTTCCCGGGACGGCAGGGCCCCCTCCGATCGGATGGGCTGAGCCTGAGCCCCGCTCTTGCCTGCTGTCCAGGCCGCTACGCAGAGGCCCTGGAGGAACATCGGCAGGAGCTGCAGCTCCTGGAGAGCACCGACGACCTCCTGGGCTGCGCTGTGGCCCACCGCAAGATCGGCGAGCGGCTAGCGGAGATGGAGGACTACTCAGCTGCCCTGAAGGTTGGGGCGTGGGGAGGAGGGGGAGCCTGGGACCCCCAGAAAGAGTTCGTGGAAACCTTAATTGAGTTGTATCACAGGTCAGGTGCCCGCCCCTTTCGGATGCTGCTGTCCCCTTCTCCCCTGTGGCACTGTTAATGGTGCCAAGTGAGGACAGCTGTCACCGCAGACAGCCCTTGGCCCAGAGAATATGGGAGTTAGTGTGGGGCCTGCTCCCGTTTCCTGGAGTAGGGTCAGCCCACAGAGGTGGTTCTCCTTCCTGCTTCAGCACCAGCATCGTTACCTGGAGTTGGCCTGCTCCTTGTCCAATCACGTGGAGCAGCAGAGGGCCTGGGCCACCATTGGCCGCACCTACCTCGATGTCCAGTCGCAGGATGCCCTGCTGCAGGCCCAGTCTGCCTTTGAGAAGAGCTTGGCGATCGTGGATGAGAAGTTGGAGGGTGGGTCTTGCATGGCCGATCCCACCCTCCCCGGGCCCCCCTATGGTAGAAGCCCTCCCTCAGTGACTCCTCCTGCCCTCTACCCTTGGCACCTCCATTAGGGTGGGCTGAGGCTGGACAGGGCTCAGGGCCATCCTGGAGACCCTGAGTGGGGATGAGATGCCTGAGTGGCAGGGGGGCATCTTGCAGGGGCTGTACCACACCGAGAGCTGATTGAAATGAGGACTCGGCTCTACCTCAACCTGGGTCTCACTTTCGACAGCTTGCAGCAGCCAGCCCAATGTGACAACTACTTCAAGAAAAGCATCTTCCTTTCAGAGTAAGGCCCCCACTGGCCCCATTTCCTGACCTAGGGGAAGCAGCGGCTCCTGGGACCACCCTTGTGGGCTGTCTGGCTGTGCCGAATGCCAGAAGGAGCAGGCTGACTTCGGTCCTAAGGGGGATGTAGGAGCCGAGGAGCCCCTGACTGAGGCAGGGTTGGACTACAGTGTGGTATCGGTCCCTAGGGTTTATTGAGTTCACTACACATTGGTGAGCACCTGTGCCCCATTCGCAGGCAGAACCACCTCTACGAGGACCTGTTTCGTGCTCGTTACAACCTGGGCACCATCCACTGGCGAGCGGGCCAGCACTCCAAGGCCATGCGCTGCCTGGAGGGTGCCCGCGACTGTGCCCGCACCTTGAAGAAGGGGTCCATGGAGAGCGAGTGCTGCGTGGTGATCTCACAGGTGTGCAGGTAGCTCCTGGAGCCCTGGTGAGGCGAGCCTCAGGTAGGATGCAAGCCCCACCTTCTTCTCTTGCCTTTTAGATCCTCCAAGACCTGGGAGATTTCTTGGCTGCCAAACGTGCCCTGAAGAAGGCCTATAGACTGGGATCCCAGAAGCCTTTGCAGAAGGAGGCAGTCTGCAGCAGCCTGAAGTATGGTAAGACTGGAACAGAAACCCTATGGGAAGGGAGAGAGTGGGGGCCAGGCATGTCTCCTGGGGGAGGTGGCACCTTCCGTACTGGGGCCTCTGCCAACAAGAGGGCTAGGCCCTCCATTCTCAGACACACACACTGCCCTCTGAGCCTATGGGAGAGCGTGTTGGGAGAGGTGGTGGGAGACCAGCAGGACGTTTACCTGTAGGCCAGCTCAGCCGGTGTCATAGGGTTGATGTTCAAAGTACTACCCAGTAGGGGCTTTAAGCAGCAGAAATGCAGTCTCAGCTCTGCTTCTGGAGGCTGGGAGTCTGAGATCAAGGTGTGTCTGTCTGTTGGCTCCTGATGCTCTGAGGGAGACTTTCTAGGCCTGTCTCCCAGCTTCTGGTGGGTCCGGAAGTTCTTCACTCGCAGTGGCAGCGTCACACGGCGTCTTCTCATTTTAGGGCCAGGATTCATTGTAATGGAGTATGACCTCATAGTAACCTGTTTACAAACAGCGTCATATCATAGTTACCAACCAAACAACTGCAGTGCCATTGAGTCCCTTCTGACTTGTGGCCACTCTCTAGGACAAAGGGATTCAGAGGCACTGATCTTTACGGAAGCAGACTGCCTTATCTTTCTTGGCGTGGCTGGTGTGTTTGAACAGCCAACCTTTTGTTTAGCAGGCCAACACTCAGTTCTTAGTGGGGAGCCACAGCTCAATCCCTAACACAGGCTCATTCATTGACAATCGAGAGATGACCCTGTACCCCCACCTAGTGGAACATGGACTCGATTCTCACTGGCTGAGTAGCTTGGGGACACTAATGACAGTGAGGGGTCACGGTAAGTGAGAATAGCCAGCTCTTCCTGAGCCAGCTGTTTTTGGTTGCTGAGTTCAGTAGGTCTCCCGTGGGGTAGAATCTCCCATGGTCTCATTTTACAAGAGTGAATGGAGGCCTGGAGAGGCTGGGGGGCCGCTGTACCCAACCAGAGGCAGCGCCAAGCACAGAGCCCCACAGTGTACCACCCCCTTGCATGAGGCTTTTCCTGCAGTGTTGAAGGTGGTCCAGTTGCAGCGGCAGCTAGAGGAGGCCAAGGACAGGGACCCTGAAAGTGCCCTAGGCATCTGTGAACAGCTGGGGGACCTGTTCTCCAAGGCGGGCGACTTCCCCAAGGCAGCCGAGGCCTATCAGAAGCAGGTGTGCAGCCCACCTAGGCTGGGGTGCTCCTGAAGGGAACGGGGTGGGTGGCAGCCGGGGCCTCACCAGTGCTGGCTCCCAGCTGCATTTTGCAGAGCTGCTTGGCCGGCCAGGGCCCGAGCTGGCCGTCATCCATGTGTCCTTGGCTACCACCTGGGGTGACATGAAGGAGCCGAGTCGGGCAGTGTTTCACTATGAGGAGGAGCTAAAGCTGTGCAGTGGAAACCCCCTGGAGGTGGGTGCGTGGGGTCTCTGCCTCGTGTCTCCCTCCCCAATGGACTTGGGCTAGTTTTGGTGCCCGGACGAACCTGGCTATCCTGGGGAGCTGGGGCCAGTCCCGTCCAGTGTGGTAGACAGTAGACTCATCCATCCTCCATCTGCTCCAGGAGGCGAAGACCTGGTTAAACATTGCACTGTCCAGAGAAGAGGCTGGGGAGGACTATGAGCTGCTGGCACAGTGCTTCCAGAAGGCTCTCGGCTGTGCCCATCAGGCCCAGCTACCCCAGCTGCAGGTGAAAGAACCTTCCCACCCAGGCTACAGCACCCTCCCAATCTGGCTGCCCTGGCAGCCCAACTGATCCTGTGTTCTGCACAGCCCGTCTCCCAGCCATAGTCCACCCCTTCGGTTACTCCCCTGGGCTGAGCTGGCCCTGCCGCCTTCTTGGTCACTCCTCCTCTCTCTCCGTCCTCCTAACCCGGCCCCTGCCCACAGAGGCGTGTTCTCCAGCACCTCTACACTGTGCAGCTGAGGCTGAAACCCCAGGAGGCCCCCAGCACCAAAGCCAGACTTGAGGAGCTGAGCACAGTGGAGGAGGAGCAGGAAGGGGAGGAAGAGGAGGACAGTGAGGCTCTGGAAATCAGCGATGTGGAGCTCTCGGAGAGTGGTGAGGGTTCATGGCGCCCTGGTGCTGTACCACCTGCTCAGTGTCCCTCTGAAGGCTGGCAGAGCAGGACCATTTGCCTTTGGCTCACAGCCACGCTTGACAGAGGAGGCCCCTAAAGCCCTCTAGCCACAAAGGATTTCTAGGGTCCTCAAGGCTTGACTCTTGTAGAGAACGAGGCCCCAGAGGAGGATGAGGAACTTCGAGGCTGCCTGGGCCAGCGGAAGGTAAACAAGGTGAGGGCTCTCTGGCCACCTGTCCCCTCCTTGCTCACTGGCTTGCTCCGGCACCCTCATACCGCCATGCCCTCGTCTCATGAGTGGCTGTGCCCACAGTGGAACCGACGGAATGACATGGGGGAGACCCTGCTGCACCGAGCCTGCATCGAGGGCCAGCTACGCCGCGTCCAGGACCTGGTGAAGCAGGTGGGCTTCACAGAGCCCCATTAGGGCTCTGTCCTGTCCTGACCTCTTGGGGTGGGGGGCAGGCAGTCCCTTCCTGTTGCACTCCCCAGCTGGGCTCTGTGTTCCTTGGCCCAGGGCCACCCTGTCAACCCTCGGGACTACTGCGGCTGGACACCCCTGCATGAGGCCTGTAACCATGGACACTTGGGTGAGTGTAGACCAGGTGGGGTCTGTGTACAACTGGGGCCCTGGGTGAGGAGGAAACATGGTGCTAGCTCACGTCCCCCACTGGCCCACAGAGATTGTCCGTTTCCTGCTGGACCACGGAGCTGCAGTGGATGACCCAGGAGGCCCAGGGTGTGAGGGCATCACTCCGCTGCATGACGCCCTGACCTGTGGCCACTTCGAGGTGGCCGAGCTGCTCATTGAACGAGGCGCCTCTGTGACCCTGCAGACCACCAAGGTAGGTGGGGGCTGGTGGGAGCAGGGGAACGATGTCAGCTCACTCAGGGCCTGGTGTGACCCCCGCCGGCTCTGCAGGGTCACAGTCCCCTGGAGACGCTGCAGCTGTGGGTCCGACTGTACAGCAGGGACCTCGACCAGGAGACCTGGCAGAAGGCTGGCACCATGGAGAGGCTGCTCCGGACTGTCGGAGGCAAGTGGGAGTTCCCCGAGGGAATGCCCCAGAGGGTGTGGGGGACACGGTGTCTGGACTCTTGGTCCACCTGGGCCCTTTTCTCCCCACAGCTTCCCGGGCACCCCAAGCGCCCCGGGCCTTTCCAAGTAACCATCTGTTTGACCCAGAGACTTCGCCTCCCTCAAGCCTTTGCCCAGAACCCCGCTCTGGTGCCCCAAGGCCCCCAGCCTCTTGGGCCCGTTCCAGGCTCTCTCCTGTGGTCAGGCCTCGGCGGGGCCGGCTTGGGCTGGCCAGCAGCAGTAGTGGCTCTGAGAGTGAGGACAGTGAAGGCCCTCACCAGCCTGCCCAGAAGAGGCCTCGGTCCTCAGCGTTCACTCAGCTGGCCCAGACTCAGCCAGCCAGCCCTGCAGGGAACAGAGAGGTAGCTGTGGCCAGTACCAGCTGGGCGGCTTACCAGGCGGCCATCCGGGCTGTGGGCAGTGCCCAGAGCCACTGCCTGGTACCCAACCAACCTCAGGGCCTAGGCGAGGTTCCTGCCCCTCAGGCAGCCCTTGTCCCAGAGGAAGAGTGTTTGGATGGGGATTGGCTGGAGGACGACTTGGCCCTGACCCTTGGCCGCCAGAGGGGCAGCCGCCTGCCCCATCCCCCAGGCAGTGGGGACACCACCAGGCCCCGGGCCCGGCAGAGCCGTCTGACCTTCCCAATTCACCACGAGAGTCCATGCATGGCAGTCAAGGCCAGCTCAGCGGCACAGCCTCCAGGGAGCCCCGACCCCTCTGGGACCTCTGGGCCTGGCCAGGACAACCTTATGGCAGGCCAGTGCTCGGTGGGTGTGTGGAAACTTGAGCAGGGTGATGCCTGGCTGGGCCAGTGGGGGCGGCAGGGACCCACCCGTACAATGCAGGGTCTCCTGACTGGCCTCTTCCCAGGGTCCCACCCTGCCTCCACCCATCCGGGTTCGTGTCAGAGTTCAGGATAATCTCTTCCTCATTCCCATCCCACACAGGTAAGACGTTGCCCCGGTGCCTGGGGTTTCTGGCCAGTGGGATCCTTGGTGGTCTCCGTAGGCTGTATGGCTGCTTGGGATATCCCTGCTATAGGCAGGGCCTGCATGTCCTGAGCACGGCAGTGAGGTGGTCTGGGGAGGGGCCCAAGGGAGAACTCATCTTAGCACCACCTGGCCCGCAGCACTGAGGCCCACTCCGTGGCCTGGCTGGCCGAGCAGGCCACCCAGCGCTACTACCAGACCTGTGGGCTGTTGCCTCGGCTCACACTCCAGAAAGAGGGGGCCCTGCTGGCCCCACAGGATGCCATCCTGGACGTGGTGCACAACAATGAGGAGGTGAGTGGGGGCCACTGCGCAGGGGGACTGAGGAGGACGGCTGCTGGATACCACGGGGACTCCCTGATGGTGCCTTCCAGGTGCTGGCTCAAGTGACTTCATGGGACCTGCCCCCGCTGACCGACCGCTACCGCAGAGCCTGCCAGAGCCTGGGTCAAGGTGAGGAGCTGAGAACCACTGCTTCAGGGATCAGCTGGGCAGAGGCCTGGGCCCTTTGGGACTCTCTCCGTGCAAACCCATCCAGGTGTTTGGCACTGTAGTTACCTAAAGCACCCCCCGACAGACACCATGTCCTGTGCTGGCTGGCGGATGGGTGAAGCAGGCTGAGTTGACAGTTCTGTCAGGAGCCGTGGAAAGTTGCATAGCGGGGAGGGTTGGGTGGACCGGGCCCCGCGTTCCGGGAAGCTCTGAGGAAGCTTGTCATCAGCTAACACCACGTCCCCCACAGCGGAGCACCCAGAGGTGCTGCAAGCTGTGGGATGCCAGGGTTCGGGCTCCACATTCAGCGCCTGCTCCCTAGCACTGCACCAGGCCCAGCTGACCCCGCTGCTTCGGGCCCTCAAACTGCATGCGACGCTGCGGGAGCTGCGCCTGGCAGGGAACCGACTGGGAGACGGATGCATAGCTGAGCTGTTGGCTGCCCTGGGCACCATGCCTGGCCTGGCTCTCCTGGACCTGTCCTCCAACCACTTGGGCCTGGCTGGCCTATGTCAGCTTGCCTCAGGCCTCCCAGAGCAGGCCGCTGCTCAGGTAGGACTGGGAGCAGGGATCTGGGGTGGGGCAGGGTGGGCTCTTCTGGGAAGGGAGCTGGCCTCTGTGGCTCTGGGGACCCAGCGCTGGCCTGTGTCTCCTACAGACTCTGGAGGAACTAGACTTGAGCATGAACCCCCTTGGGGATAGCTGTGGCCCAGCTCTGGCCTCTGTCCTGCGGGCCTGCCCCTCACTCAGCACCTTGCACCTCCAGGCCTGTGGCCTAGGCCCCAGCATCTTCCAGAGCCAGCAGGCAGCCCTGAGCAGCACCTTCCGAGGTGAGCTCACAGGTGCACCTACTCCCCAGCCCTAACAAAGGGTATGTTGAAGGTCCGGGGGGGCCCAGAGGACACCTAGGCTGGGCTTTCAGGAGTGTGCAGGGGCGTAAATTGGGGTGGGGTGTTGGTAGGGGGCACTGGCAGGCTAGGCCGTGTATCCGCAGGTTGAGTCTCGCTCTCCAGCTCTGAGTAGAGTCTTTGCCTAAAGCCATCCTCCCATGAGCCCACCCCAGGCTGTCAGTGATCCCAGAATGCATCAAGAGCAGACATGTCTGTCTTATGACTCCTGCAGTTAGAGCACCCCCCACTCTCCGCCCCACATAGGCCTCTTGGCCAGGGACAGCACCTCAGACTGCTGGTACCCTCCTGTCTTGGGGAGGGGCTGAAGAGCCCCAGTGATGGTGGGGTGCGGCTGGGCTCCAGAGTCTGGTTTCCCTGGCTCACAAAGAGTTAGGGAGATGGTTTCCACACAGAAGAGTCCTGAGGGTCCGTTAGGGGAGGGGGTGGTCGTGTGGGGCTGACGGACGCGCTGGCCTGTGCAGATGCCAAGCACTTGAAGACGCTCTCCCTGTCCTACAATGCCTTGGGCACCCAGACCCTGCTGAGCTTGCCTGCCTGCACCCTCCTGCACCTGGAGCTGGGCTCCGTGGTGACCACAAAGAGCGATGGATTCATGGAGCCTGTGGTCAGGTACCTGACGCAGGTACGAGTTGGGGGTGGGGAGCTTCAGCCAATTCTGGCTAGGACCCACTTAGCAGGGATGAGTTCTGGCTTCGGGGTGAGGGGCTGCCTGCCTCCAGGGTTGCTACCTCCCCACCCCCACTCCAGGTCTTAGGGCCCCTGGGTGTCCTATCACAGTGCACTGAGCTTCAGTCTCACCTGGAAGATAAGCACTTCCTTACAGCCTCTTCAGAACTCCACACTGAAGGGCATGCCCCTCTCTGGCTGGGGGACCAGGCTTCCTTTCTACACCCTCTTCCTGAGGAAGGGGCATCATGATAGCCTTGGCGGGCCCTCTGTGCCACCCCCTGGCTGCTGCTTCTTTCTAGGAGGGCTGTGCGCTGTCACACCTGAACCTGTCTGGGAACCATCTGAATGACAAGGCTGTGAGAGAGCTGAGCAGGTGATCTGCCCTGCACCCTGAGGGAGGGGTCTCTTCATAGCATGGGAAGCTACCCCAGGGTGTTCGCCAAGCGAGTGGACTGTCCTCTGCTTCCACATGGCCTTCAGGTCCCAGCACACCCCTCCTGGTTCTCTCCAGCACTCTGGCTCTTCCCTCTCATGGCACCCTTGTCACCTGTGCACACCAAGCACTTGAGCCCTTGTCTGATTCTAGGGGTATCAGCAGGTGCCCAAGCTCGGCCTGGTTCCTGCAGTATTGGCCAGGGGAGAGCTGGGGGCTCTGTTCCAGGAAGCTGACCCCTTTGTGCTTTTCCTCCCCTGACCCCTCAGATGTCTCCCTTTCTGCCCCTCGCTGGTCTCACTGGACCTGTCTGCCAACCCCAAGGTCAGCCGTGTAGGTCTGGAGGAGCTCCTGTCTGCCCTCCAGGAACGGCCCCGTGGCCTCAGCTTCCTTGACCTGTCAGGTGAGGGCCTGGTACCCCCCCCACTCCCGCTAGCCCACCATGGCTCCCCCCACACACTCCCGCTAGCTCACCATGGCTCCCCACCACACACACACTCCTGCTAGCCCACCATGGCTCCCTTCCTGGGCAGCCCCCAGGACAGAAGCAGGAGCCCAGCTCTTAAGAACGTGGGTCAAGGGGTGCAAGACACCTCCAGTGCATGGCTTCCACCTCCAGCCCACCATCTGATATCTGATCTGATCCTTGGTGAACAGCAGGATGAATGGAAACCCTTCCAGGGTAGAAAGAGGGAATCGTCATCTAGGTTGGCCCCAGCCACTTGGCAGGGACAGCTCTGGTATGTCTGTGGTCATCTATAGTTCTTATCCTGGCCACACAGCTGTTTGGAGGACTACCCCCTGTTCTTGCCTCAGCTGGGGCCTCCACCTTCCTGGCTTCACATCTCCAGGGACAGGAGGCTGGGGATAGGCGTACATATGGAAGCCCCTGGATTCCTTCTGCGTTCTCCCTACTGGCCCCCCTGAAGCCAGGCTGGCTCCCACAGTAGGCACCCCTGTAGGCAGGCAGGTAGGAGACCTGTGCTGTGCTTTGCACTCAGCTTCCAAGGCCCTGAGCCTGCTGGGAATCGAACTTTTGGCAGCCTAGTGCTCTCCTGAGTCAACTTAGACCCACAACTTACAGGTTCAGGGGCAGACATATTATGCCCATTTTACAGATGGGGAAATTGAGAGCAAAGCACAAAGCAAGGTTGGAGTCTGTCTTTGTTTGAGTCAGCCTGCCTCCTGCCGGGTCTCTGGAAGAAGAACTGGGGCTTGGGATCCCCCTTGGGACATTTGAATGCCCTGGGCACCTGCAGTCCCTCTCTGAAGCCTGTTCTTGCTGCCCTGCAGGCTGCACTGTCCAGGGGCCTCTGGGTCTTAGCGTCTGGGACAGGATCACTGAACATGTGAAGGAGCTGCAGCTGTGCAGCCGCCGCCTCACTCCTGAGGACCGGGACTCACTGCACCGGGTACTGCCCAGCCAGACAGGCCCCAGCCTGTGTACGCTGGACCGTGGCGCTAAGCTCTTCTTCAGGCGCCTCTGATGAGGGGCCCAGCTGCAGACACTGAATCCTTTAATAAAGAAACCTGTTGCCTCTCCTTTTGCTGCCTGAAATAGGGAGGGTGGAACTAGTGGGTCGCAACAGCAGGGAAGCCCAGGCTCCCTTCCTTGGGGACCTACATCTGGGAGGCAAAGCCCGGTTGTGTCTACATCTGGAAGGCAAAGCCTGCATGTGAACCTTCCGTGGGGACTCCGCCCCTTCTGTCGGGAGGTGTAATCGAGATCCAGGCTGCTCCGCCTCCAATGTTCAGACTTGAGGGGCGAGCACCGAACTGTCGATCGGGGCTGTGTCTCTGTCGTGCGCAGGCGCAGACATTAAGAATGAGCGTCGGGCCGTCAGTCGGGGAGGTCCCACCCCTGACGCCATCTCTGTGGTCCTTCAAGTCCGCCAGGTACCTGGGGTGGTGGGGCGAGGGGAGGAAGCGGGAGAAGAGGCGTCGAGCCGCGACAAGGGGATATCTCCCCGTACTAGGTTTCCCGGGTCCGGCTAGTCCTGATGTTTGCCCTTTGCATCCTGAGGTCCCTTCTCCCAGCAGCCCCAATTCCCGCGTTTCCCGACCGGGACAGTGTTCTGTCCCTTCGCCCGGAGTTCTCTCGGCCTCCCCGTTCGCGCTGCGGGGTGCACTCGGCCCCGCCTGGGAGTCGGTACATTCTGTCGGGGGGGCGGGGCCTCTTGGTTCTCGGCCGTCTCCCGCGTTAGGAGAGCTGACCCTGGGCCTCCGCTTGGCAGCACCTAACCTGCTGTCCCCTCAGACCGTGAGCTTGGTCACACCCACCATCAGGTCCCACATCCGGTCAGCCCAAATCCTGCGAGATTCAACTGCCGAATCTCCCCGCCTTCGCTCTGCCCCAGCCGTGGTCACCACCGCTCGCTGCCAGGTGGACTGTGGCCACCTCCAGTGTCACAAGGAGTCACATCGTGTTCTCTTCCCGCTTTGTGGTTGGTTTGTGAGGTGTGTCTGTACCTATATGGCTACAGGATATTAGTGTTTGTCACACCTCCCTCGGACGCCGGACCCTTCTTAACGTGGATGACACGCCCTTTTCCGATTCTTGTTTCTCCCTCTGGCCAGCATGTTGGGATGCCCCACAGCTGTGTGCTCACCCCAGCTCACCTTATGTGACCCCCTGCACTCCCATGATGCTGATGAACCCCTCTTGATGGTGGCAGTCCAGGCTCCCTGAGCTCTAGCTGCCTCTGGAACCAAACATGCCCCAATCAGGATGCGCCTGGCATTCACCTGCCACCCTTCCACCTGCTTGGTCCACCCCATCTCAATTCACCTCACCCACGTGGTACACTTAGCCTCAAAGCAGGACTGTTGTTTTTCTCCCTGTCCTGGTCTTCACCCTCATTTCGAATCCTTCAGGGGTCCTGATGGCTCTACCTCCAAATCAGACTGGAATTGCCACCCCTGCTGCCCCTGCCCTATCCACCGTTATCCCAGACCGCCAGGACCCCCACTTCTTCTCTAAGAGCCCATCTAAAGGCCCTGTTCTGGTTGAGCATCCCCTCCCCTGTGCCTTGATTTTCACCTAATTTCCTCCTGGCAGTTCCCAGGTGGGTCCAGTTTCTCCCATTCAGGGTTACTTCTGTGTCAGCGGCAACTCCTCACCCCAGATCTCTGCTACACCACCCTAGCCTCCAGCATGTTCCACGGGATCCCGGTCACTCCGGGCCTGGGAGGTGAGTGTGGCCGGAGCTGTCCTAGCTGGGAGGCTGTGACGGTGAAGCCAAGCTTCAGTATGGCTTTGTGGCGGCCAGGGCTGCAGGCATGGCGAAGATGGGCCTGGAGTTAAGCTGGAACCTTAGGTGTCCTGGTGGCCCAGGTCTAAAGCTCACAAAGGGAGAATGAGTCTTGCTTCAGCTGCGGCCTGGCGCCTGATCCTGGGTGCTGTTAGAGCATTGTGCAGCCAGGGGAGGTCCCCCAGCCTAGCCTTCCTGAAAGTGCCTACAGGCCAAGATTCCAGCCCCTGTCTTCCCACGCCCTGCTGCTCTTTGGGACTTGGCCTGGGGAAGCTCCCAGGAAGAGCTGAAGGGGCTTGGGGTGCAGTGGCAGTGCTGCCCGTTGCCTCCACGGTCCCCTCCAGCTCTGCGTGCTCTGTTGCAGCTCCTGGGAACAAACCTGAGCTGTATGAGGTGAGTGTCCTGTGAGCACAGCTCCCCAGGCTCCTGTGTCACCCTCACTGTGCTGGCCTGACACATTTTACTCTCGGACAGGAAGTGAAGTTGTACAAGAATGCCCGTGAGCGGGAGAAGTGAGTCCAGGCCCCTCTTGTCTATCCTGTCTCTTTAGAGCAGCGTCTGGGAGGACAGTGGGGCTGGTCTGGGTGAGCAGGCACACAGTGTCAGCCCAGCTATACCATCCGTGCGCCCCACAGGTATGACAACATGGCGGAGCTCTTTGCTGTGGTGAAGACCATGCAGGCCCTGGAGAAGGCCTACATCAAGGACTGCGTCACCCCCAATGAGTGAGCCCATGGCCTCCGGACTGTGGCCAGCGGCCCCCGAGTCTTGTCCTTGGAGGCCTGTTTGTCTTTTAGGGCCTGGGTGGCTTGTGGGAATAAGGATAGGGGTCTCAGTGCTGTGTGCTCCCCTCCCCCTTCCCTCAGAATGGGAGCTGTGGTAAGAGCTCCTAGGGGAGGGTCGTGCTTCCTGGGTAGGCCTGGCTTATGGTGAGTAGAGCCGGTCCGGTGGTGGGGAACGGGCTGGACAGACCTGTCCTGTGATCGATTGGTGAGGTTTAAGCTGAGGGATGAAGCTAAGGGCCAAGGGCCTGACCACATGGCCTGTGTGGGGTGAGTGGTACATCGGCTCTCGATCTCCAACACCTTTTCAGTGGGCAGATCAAAACCCACAGCTCTCCGTGACCCGAGGTGACTTGCCTCCCAGGCCCCCTTCTTTCTGGGAGAGCTGTCTGTGTCTGGATGGCCCAGGGGAATGGCCATTTGAGTGCTGATGCAGCCCTGGCCTCCCAGGTACACGGCCGCTTGCTCCCGGCTCCTGGTCCAGTACAAAGCCGCCTTCCGGCAGGTCCAAGGCTCTGAGATCAGCTCCATTGATGAGTTCTGCCGAAAGTTCCGCGTGAGTTCTTGCTCCTCTGCCTCTGCATGGAGTGTGTACGGGGCTGCTGTTGGGGTAAGGCATCGTGCCTGTAAGACCAGGGACCCACAGAGCCCTCCCTGCAGCTGGACTGCCCACTGGCCATGGAGAGAGTCAAGGAGGACCGGCCCATCACCATCAAGGACGACAAGGGCAATCTCAACCGCTGCATCGCTGATGTCGTTTCGGTGGGCGAGGCCCAGGGGCAGGGGAGGAGAGCGAGAAGTGGCCAGGAACTGGACTCATGGGGGAAAGGGTCACCTGTTTACCTGAGTCATGGGATAAGCCGGATGGACAGGGCCTTCAGGCACTTTTCCCCAGGCTCCTGGCAGTGTGTGAGGGAGGAGACAGGCCACTTCTCGGGAACCCCATTGGGCTGTGTGTGGGACCTGGTGACCTCACTGACCCCTTCTCCCCACTCCAGCTCTTCATCACGGTGATGGACAAGCTGCGCCTGGAGATCCGAGCTATGGATGAGGTGACTCTACTGGGCTCTGGACTCTGGGCCAGGCGTGTTCCTGGGGGAGGCGGGGGTGAGTGCCTCGGAGCAGGGTCCCAGCAGGGCTGTGGTGCCCACAGATCCAGCCGGACCTGCGGGAACTGATGGAGACCATGCACCGGATGAGCCACCTGCCCCCTGACTTCGAGGGCAGACAGACAGTCAGCCAGTGGTAAGAGTTCATCCTTGCTCTCCCCACCACATGGTCTCCAGGCTGCAGGTCCTTGGCGCTCCTTGTTCCCTGTCTCCCCGCAGGCTGCAGACTCTGAGCGCTATGTCAGCCTCAGATGAGCTGGACGATTCCCAGGTGCGCCAGCTGCTCTTTGACCTGGAGTCGGCCTACAATGCCTTCAACCGCTTCCTGCATGCCTGAGACTGCCCAGCACCCCAGCCCCTCTGATCTCTTGGCCAGTCCAGTCATGGTTTGCTGTCTGTGGCATCAGGCCTTGGGGAGTGTGGCCTGGGCCTGGAACTCCCTCCCCTCATCCCATTAAAATTATGCTGTCTGACCTTCCTCTTACTCTGGGGTCTTCTGGAAGCCAGCCTTGCATGTTCTGCCGCCCTTAGGATATGTTGAGATAGTTCCAGCCCTCGCCCAAAGGACCCTGTGCCTTTCACAGTCGGCAGCTTCCTTGTTGGTGGCATGGGTTCCATTGTACCTGAGCACCAGGTGTGGCTTGAAACCAGTGACAGCCTCATCCCCACCCTTCCCACCTACCTGAGGGCACATTCAGCCTGAGGAGGGGCAGCCCTTCCCCATCCCACCCCCAGTCTTCATGGATTCCTGCCTGGCCTGGTGCCCTGCCCCTCCTGTGTCCTTAGAGACATGTCTCAGCTCTGAGGGCCCGTAGGAGAGGGTGGGGCACCCTGGGGCCTGCACCTGTCACCTCTACTTGATGGGCCCAGGTCCTCCAGTGTAGATCCTTTCCAAAACCCTAGCTTCCTGTCCAGGGGCTCCAACTGCTCTCCTGACCATACCAAGGGCCCCATCGTCCCTCGTTCACAAGCAGTGTGATGATGGCGGATGACCACAGCATTGTGAGAAGACACAACAAACCACATAGTCTGAGTTGGACTTTAATGTTTTAACAACTGGAAGCAGACAGTAACACTGAAATGCTATCCCCGATGGGATTAGGGGCAGGCATGGAAGGGCGGGGATGGGTCCTGCTCAGCACCTGGACAGAGCTGGGCTCCCATGTAGGCTCGGCTCCAGGCAGCTGACCAGTGGGTGGCTAGACATGAGGCTGAAGTAAGAGGTCATGCTAGTTGGAGCCATGTCCACATGCATGGCTGGATGCCATCCCAGCTGCCAGGCTGCCCACAGGTGGATTGGGGAGAAAGCCCCAGTAAAGGAGTGGCAGGATGAGTGAGGAGGCAGGAAAAGGCCTGTTTGCCCAGCAGAAGGATCTGTGATGGCCAGCCGGCCTGGATCTTGGGTGGGGTGGAGGGCCGGAAGTGGGACCAGCATTGGGAGGTGGCCTTGTGTTTGAGATATGTGGCGCTCTGGGTTAATGTGCCGGACTGCAAAGTTGTTTGAACCAGAAGGTCAGTGGTTCAAGCTCACCAGTTGCTCCTCGGAACTCCTATGCCTGGTCTCTATGGGTCGGATCCGACTCTACAGCACTTAACAACAACAATTAATTACAGGGTGTTTGGGGGTGATGAGAGGGGCCCTGGTGGTGGTGGTGCCAAATCAGAAAGTGGGTTTGCTGCCTGTCACTGGAGTCGATCACAGACAGGGAGAGAGCCGATCCAAACTTTATTAGCAGAAAGCCAGCAGTCTGGAGAACGGGAGAATTAAGTTCTCAAGACTGTCCTCCCCGTTACGAAGAGCAGGTACATTATATAGGGTAAGTTACATTTGGACGTACACTGAATCTATTTTAACATCAAGTTCGCATTCTTTGAGAAAAGAAAACAGTAATAAATCAATAAAATTCCTCAAACATTCAACCTTTAGCGTCTTAGCTGCTTAATTCCTGAGGTAACTCTGGGTGGCTTTAAGCACGTCCTAGTCTGCTTGTCCTGTTCTCCTAGGACCATAAGGTCATCTTAGCTAATTTTTAAATTTCCTCATTTGCAGACCTAATGACTAAACCAGCTTCATGTTGTGTAGGTCATAAATCCATGGAGTCAGTGTAGTGGGTTAGAGGTTGAGCTGCTAACTGCAGAGTCAACAGTTCAAACCCACTTCACAGGAGAAAAATGAGACTGCTCTTGAAAAGATTGAAGTCTGGTAGTGTAGTGCTGCTAACCTCAAGGTCGGCAGTTCGAAATTACCAGCCGTTCCGCGGCACAAAGTTATGAGGCTTTTTGTTCCAATAAAGATTTACAACCCCGGAAGCCCTGTGTAGGATCACTATGAGTCAGAACTGACTTCACGGTACTTAACAAGAAGGAGCAATTCTATTCTGTCTGATAGGCCTCAACTCAATGACAGTGGTTGGTGGGTGGGAGACAGGGCAGAGGGTCCAAGGTTCAGAGGAGGGGCCCTGGCTCAGTGGGCAGATTGCAGGGGACTGGTGACCAAAAGGAAGTATGCTGGGGGAGAAGGCTGGGATGGAAGAATGAAGGAAAAGGACCACAGAAAGCCCAAGTTGTCCCAGCCTGGGACACCCACCCAGACACCTGCTGGTATTGGGTCAGAGCTCCCAGGGTGGACAGTTTGGGTGTGGGGCTACCTCCTCCCTGTTTACTGTCCTACAGCCCCTGCACCTAGCTCCCCTGGCTGGCATCCTGCCCAAGTTCCTGAAGCAGGAGGGTTATTGTATGGCTAGGTGGGTGCTGTGTGTGGACATGTGTGTCCCCTGGAAAGGCCCACACAGCTCTCAGTACACTCCCTAACCAATTTCCCTGACTGCGGGGAACCAATGAACTCCCTGGCAGCTGTTGCCCCACCCTGGGGCACTGGGCCAGCGGCGAGAGTCCTTAGAGCTCACCTGGGGGAACCACAGGGCTTGAGGTCAGGGTTTGGCTGAGCTGGCATAGCAAGGGGCAACTGTATGTTGTCACCACTGTCCCCCTGCTGATGAAGGAGTCGGGAGGTGAGGCCACCTTGAGACCTGAGGCACTGGGGCCAGAGTTCTATCGATTTAAGGCCCGCCCCTCCCCCAGCATGTCCCTTGACTCAGGAGGATTGGGAACTTCAGGGAACCAGAGATAAGGCCCTCGGTACAAAGGCTGAGGCCTGAACAGGCAGGGGTTGGACCAGCCCTCCCCTACAAGTCCCAGGGCCCCACCCTGGCCCCCTCAGGCTCTTCATTCCTTTCTTTTTGTCCTGAGAATTTACCCTGGAGGGCTTGGGGAGGTGGGCCCGAGAGAGTTTCTCCACACAGAACTTGTCTGAGCTCTCCTGCCCAAGAGAAGAAGGTTCTGCTGGCTGGGGCGGGAGGCGCAGGGCTGGGAATGTCCCGGGCCCCCTGGGCTGTGGCTCCAGCCCTCTGTGACCATGGTGCCACCCATCACCTCCGTCCACAGGCCCCCAGCTCAGGACAGCCCCAGGGGCTCCAGGAAGGTGACCACAAGCCTCTGAGGGAGTAGAGAGGGGACCTGCTTTCCCCAGGATCTGGGAGGATCTGTCACTTGAACGGTTAATCTGTAGCTGCTGCTGGTAGCCAATCACAGCGCCCCACAGAAAATACCTGAAAGAGGTCCCGAGCCGGGCGGGTCCTGCTCAACCTCAGTCAGCTGGCCCAAAGCAGCCCTCCTGGTGGAAGTTGTCAGACATCAGCGTCCTCACACAGCACCGAGAATCTGGGACCTGCACATGGCTCACCAAGTCCGCCCTGGCCGCGAGCTGCTGCTGGCCACGCTGCTGGCCACACTGCTGGCGGCAGCAACATCAGCGGCACCGGCCCGTCTGCTCCCCATGCTCACGTCGGGCCGTGGCTCTCTGGACAGAGAGGTGCTGGGCGGCCTGTTAAATACACTAGCGGCCCGTGTGCACTGTGCCTCTGGGCCGTGTGGAAAGGTAACAGACTAACGGGACCCAGCCCTCCCCCATCCGCCTCACCTCGGCAACAGCAAAGGGCCCTGGGCAAACTCCAGGGGGCGGGTCTGTCCTGGAGGGGGCGGGCTGGGCGGGTGGCTGGGGGTTCAGCTCTCCCCAGAGTCTGGGGTCCCCGACCTCTGTTTTTGCGATCACATTGGCTATAGTTCCAGGAGGAAGCCACCTGGGATGAGTGGTCTTCTAGTCAGGACACCCTCTGGCCATGTCAGGGTAGTAGGGAAACATCATAGGGGGTGCCATCTGTGGCCCTGGGCCCCAATCCGCCTGGCCCTCTGCCCACAGTGTCTGTCCGTGGAGGATGCCCTGGCTCTAAGCTGGACTCAGAAGTCCGGGATCACTGAGGAGTCCTCCATCCTGCATGCTGGGGACATCGCCCGCCTCAGTGCTGCTGCCGCCCTCTACCTCAGCAACCCTGAGGGCACGTGTGTGGACATCCAGGCCGGCCGCTGGGGCTCCCATGCTGACCACCTCCTGGCTTCACTTGAGGCACCCGAGAGCCTGACCCTGGGACTAAGCCTGCTCCTCCGGAAGATGCAGGCCCAGTCGGGCACCCCCCACACAGATGAGGAGGTGAAGGCTCAGGCAGGCCCCAGGGGAGGAGGAGGGCTGGGACCTGGGCCTGTCTGTCAGGCAGCTTCTGGCAAAGCCTGTCTGGAAATTCCCGGTACTGCCTAGGGGAGGTTCCCGGAGAGAAGGATGGGGAAAATCACCACAGGTGTCAGTGGGAGGGGCCCTCATAGGGGGAGCCTGGGAGATCTGGGCGATCAGGTTCCAGTGAGGGAGGCAGGAGAAAGTGGAACCCAGAAGAGGTCGGAGGAGGTGGAAGGAGCCTTCTCTTCAGACGGAGCACAGGACGGCTCCTTCTCTCTTAGGCTTGTGTGGCAGTGTCTCAGCTGCTGGAGGAGGCCACTGCAGAAGGCCCTGGGGGTCCTGGCCCTGCCCTGACAGCCCTGCTGGACCATGTCCAGAGCGGTGACTGCTTCCAAGCCCTGCCCACCCCAAAGTACTTTGTGGACTTCGTGTTCCGGAAGCACACTAGCGAGGCCCCCAACATCACTCTGTCTGGTGAGGCCCGGCCTGGGGCCGGTGGGCATCTGAACAGGGCCTTCCATCCTTGCAAGCCCTCTCCTGGAGGACACAGCTGGGCCCACACTGATGTGTGATGACCGTCGCTGTGTCCTCCCACCAGAGCTGGCCACCTTGATGGAGCGCCTAGGGGTGGGCAGAAAGGCAGAGGCACATGACTACAGAATCCACAGCGTCCACAGTGACCACAGCATCCACAGCCACCGCAGCCACCAGGGCCCTGTGCCCTTCACCACCCTCAATAGCACCTCCAGTGTGTGGGACACGGTGCGCGCTCTGTGGGCAGGGGTCCTGGGGAGGTGGGCTCCACAGCTCTGCTCAGCCCCTGACATCCACCCTGCCACTTTCCAGGTGTGCCTGAGCCCCAGGGACGTGATGGCTGTGTATGGACTGTCCGAGCAGGCCGGGGTGGCCCCCGAAGCCTGGGCTCCACTCAGCTCTGCTCTGCTGCAGCAGCAGCTGAGTGGAGCCTGCAGCCCCCAGCCCAGACCCCACAGCCAGGACCAGCTCAGCCAAGCGGAGAGTGAGTGTCCCCTTCCCCGACTCGCCACTGCCAGGCTGCATGGGAGGCAGAGGGTGGGCTGGCCTCCGCAAGGGGTCTGGAGCCCTGGGCTGGGGTGGGAGGGGCTCTAGAAGAAGTCTCGGGTGCCAGCCCCCCCTCACTCTCACCAGTGTACCTCTATGCCTCGCTGGCCACACTGATTGTCTGCCTGCTGCCCATGGTGGGTCTGGCTCTGCTGGTCTGCACAAGCTGCCCCCGGGCCACCCACTATGTCATCCAGACCTTCCTCAGCATGGCGGTGGGCGCCCTCACCGGTGACGCCCTCCTGCACCTGACACCCCAGGTCAGCCCGGGCTCACCCTCCCTCCCTCAGGGCACAGTCTCCTGGGGTGCCCACCTGACCCAGTGCCTCTCCCCCAGGTGCTGGGCTTGCACAGCCACGACCATGACCACAGCCATGTCGGGGAGGCTCTTGGTCCCCAGTCCACCTGGTACCTCCTGGCCATGCTGGGTGGCCTCTATGCCTTCTTCCTGTTTGAGAACCTCTTCAACCTGCTGCTGCCCCTGGACCCAGAGGTCAGGCCAGGACTGGACACAGTATGTAGACTGGTAGGAAGGGGCAGGGAGGAGATGTCCTGAACTGCTGTCCCCACAGGACCTGGAGGACAAGTCCTGCAGCCATGGCCACAGCCACAGCATGTCCCTGCAGCTGAAGCCCAGCCAACTCCGGCCAGCCCGGCAGTCCCAGGAGGGCTCCAGAGCAGACCTGGTGAGCTGGTACCCTGATGCCCTGGTCAGTGCACAACCCAACCCTTACATGAGCCCCTTCCCTTCCCAGGCAGGCTCCCCTGGGGAACCCGGCCTGCACCCCTGCCCCACCTCCTCTACCGGAGCCTCATTCATACACGACACCCCCCCCCTTACCCTCCTCCCCGCCCCAGGTCGCTGAGGAAGGCCCTGACCTGCTTAACCAGGAGCCCAGAAAACTCAACCCAGGTAAGGATTCTGGAAGCACTGACGCTCCTGCGCAGTGAGCGGTGGGCTGGGGGTGTGAGCCCTCCCCCACCGCCCACAACCCTGACCTGTGCCTACGGCACCCGCACGCAGAGCTGCGGTTGCTGCCCTACATGATCACACTGGGCGACGCCGTGCACAACTTCGCTGATGGGTTGGCCATGGGCGCCGCCTTCGGATCCTCCTGGAAGACAGGGCTAGCCACGTCTTTGGCTGTATTCTGTCATGAATTGCCTCACGAGCTGGGTGAGCGTCTGGGGGCGGGGCCTGCCGGGAGTGGGGCGGAGTCTGCTTGGGGCCTGGATGGAGGATACCTGGGGTGGGGGGACGGGACCTAGGGTGGAGGACATCTCTGCCTGGATGGGAGCAGGTCCGGGCCTGAGCCCCCGCCTTCCCCCAGGGGACTTCGCGGCCTTGCTACACGCGGGGCTGTCGGTGCGCCGTGCGCTATTGCTGAACCTGGTCTCCGCGCTCACGGCCTTCGGTGGCCTCTATGTGGCGCTGGCGGTCGGCGTCAGCGAGGACAGCCAGGCCTGGATCTTGGCGGTGGCCACTGGCCTCTTCCTCTATGTCGGGCTCTGCGACATGGTGAGTAGCGCGGGGTGCTGGGCGACTGAGGACTGGGAACAGGTCAGACAGGGCCGAATCTGGACGCTGATCACGCCCACCTGCTCGCTAGCTCCCGGCCATGCTGAACGTGAGGGACCGGCGGCCCTGGCTCCTTTTCCTGCTGCACAACGTCGGCCTGCTGGGCGGCTGGGGCATTCTCCTGCTGCTGTCCGTGTATGAAGATAGAATCACCCTCTGACCCCCAGCCTGGGACACCTACAACCTGTGGGCCTCACATCCCTTCAATAAAGACACCCCTGCCCTCGGAACCTGGCCTGGTCTCGTCAATAGGGGTAAGGTGTGAGGAAAGGTGATAGAGGGTCTTCCTCCTGACTCACCACACCAGGAGTAGTTGTTAAGTGCCATCGAGTTGGTTCCGCCCCATAGCGATAGCCCTGTATAGGGTTTCCAAGGAGCAGCTGGTGAGCTTGAACCGCCAACCTTGCGGTTCAAACGACTTTGCGGTCTGGTGCATTAACCCACAGCGCCACACCAGGCCTCCAGGAGTTGCTGTTAAATACTGTAGAGACGGTTCCGACTCATAGTGACCCTGAGCAGGGAGCAGAAAGCCTCATCTTTCTCCCGCAGAACAGCTGGTAGTTTCGAACTGCTGACCTTGAGGTTAGCAGCCCGATTTGTAACCACTACGCTACCAAAGCTCCTTAGGACTCCCGGAGTAGGAAATTTTAATATACCAGTTATAATGAAGGCCAGAACAACTAGAAAAAAAACCCAACGCAACAAAGACGCAGAAGAGCTAATCAACCTACTTGATCTCATAGATCACAATGCTATAAACTTAGAAGTCAACAACAGGAAGATCAAGGGAAAAAAATCAAATACATGGAAATTGAATAACACCCTGCTTACAAGCTACTGGTAATTGTTGTTGTTAAGATTACAACCCACAGCGACCCTGTATAGGGTTTCCAAGGAGCAGCTGGTGAGCTTGAACCACCAACCTTATGGTTCAAACGGCTTTGCAGTCTGATGCATTAACCCACAGCGCCACGCAAAAAGAAATTTAAAAATTCCTAGGATCAAACGAGAATGAAAGCATAATATACCAAAACATTTAAGACACAGCAAAAGCAGTGCTTAGAGGGTAGTTTAAAGCAACAAACACACACATCCAAAGAGAAGAAAGAACCAAAATCAACACCTTAACCCAGGTTCTCCAACAATTAGAAAAAAGAGCAGAAAAGTCAGCCTATTACCACCAAAAGAAAAAATATGATAAAGGTTAGGGCAGAAATAAATGAGATAAAAAACAGGAAAGAAATAGAATCAACAAGCAAGAAGTTGATTCTTTGAAAGGATTAATAAAACTGACACATCCAACAAAAGAAATGAAGAAGATACAAATAATACAAATATGAAATGATATGGGTGACATCATAACAGAACCAAAAGAAAGAAGGGTAAAAACAGACTATTAAGAAGATATTATTGGTAATAACAATATTATCAAATTTGTACTCTCACAAATTTGAAAATCTAGAAGAAATGGACAAATTTCTAGAAACACATGACATACCTAAACTAAAACAAACTAAAGTAGAAAATTTGAACAGGCTTGTAACAAAAGAAGAAATTGACTAAGTCGTTTTAAAGCTGCCAACCAGAGAAAAGTCTAGGCCAAGACGACTTCATTGGTGAATTCTACCAAACACTCAGAGAAGAGCTAGCACCAACTCTACTCAAACTATTCCAGAATATACAAAAGGATGGAAAACTCCCAAATTCATTTCATGAAACAAGCTAAGTCTGATACCCAAACCATGCAAAGACATCACTGAAAAAGAAAATTATGCATCAATATCCCTCATGAACATAGATCCAAAACTTCTAGCCAATAGAATCCAACGACATATCAAAAAAACCATACATCATGACCAAGTGGAATTCATACCAGGTATGCAGGAATGGTTCAGTGTTAGAAAATCAACACAATCCATCAAATTTAAATAGAAGACAATACCAGAATCCCCAACTATTCACTTCAATTAGCTAGCATGCATCTGACATTAAAACACTCTCAACAAAAAAAAGTCCAGATTCAGATTTACCGGTGAATTCTATCAAGCATTCAGAGAGTAGCTGACACCAAGTCTACTCAAAGTCCTGAATGTAGACAAGGGTGGACAGCCCCCAAATTCATTTTATGAAGCAAATGATACCAAAACCAGACAAAGACAAAGACATCACTGAAAAAAGAAAATTATGGACTAATCTCCCTCATGAACATAGATGCAAAAGTTCTCAACAAAATTCTAGCCAATAGAACCCAACAACATATTCAAAAACAATACATTATGATCAAGTGGGATTCATACCAGGCATGGTTCAATATTAGAAAAAAATCAATGTAATTCACCATAAAGGAAAAAAAGCCACATGATCATATCAAATCAATCAATGCAGAAAAGGCATTTGACAAAATCTAACACCCATTCCTGATAAAAAACACTTATCAAAATAGAAGTAGAAGGGAAAATTTTCAACATAATTAAGGATATATATAGATATAGATATAGATATACATACACTGTGGGTTAATGAGCCAGACTGCAAAGCCATTTGAACTACAAGGTTTGCGGTTCAAGCTCACCAGCTGCTCCTTGGAAACCCTATACAGGGTCGCTATGGGTCAGAACCAACTCGGCGGCACTTAACAACAACAACATATAAAACAGCCAACATCACTTTCAAATGGAGAGAAAATGGAACCATTCCCTTGTGAACAGGAAGCAGATAAAGATGTCCTTTATCACCACTCCTATTCAATATTGTGCTGGAAGTCTTAGTCAGAACTATAAGATAAGCAATGGAAATTAAAGGCATCCAAATTGGCAAAGAAGCAGTAAAACTCTCTATTTACAGATGATAGGGTCCTATACTTACAAAATCCCGGAGACTCAGCAAGAAAATTATTAGAACTCACGGGAAGATTCAGTAAAGTGGCATGGTACAAGACCAACATACAAAACGCAGCTGGATTCCTTTACACTAATAAAGAGAGCTCTGAAAAATAAACCAAGAAAACTAATTTTCAATAGCCTCCCCCACACACAAAATGAAATCATTAGGAATAACACTAATCAGAGAAATAAAAGACAGAAGACCTATACAAATATCATGACTAATTATGATTGTGACAACTGTAAAGGTGGAAGTTTTGTAACAAAAAGGGGGGAGTAGTTAATCTTACAGCCCAGGAACAGAAGACACTAGGACCATCAAGGGAGAAGAGCAAGAGAGGAATGTGGGACCCTATTCAGAGAAGTAATAACACCAGAGATGGAGGGAGAGATGATGATATGGAGAGATAGAGCAGCTGAGGACTCCAGACTCCTGGAAAGAGAAAGGCTGTGTGCTGGTGGCCAGGATGTGCCCTTTCGTTGTTTAAATGCTTCTATATTCCTGACTGTTTTTGTGTACATCCAAAAAAACAAAACACCCAGAGGGACTAGAAGCAAATACTGTTGAATGATGATGCACAGAGAGGATTGTAATCATTGCAGTGAAATGAATTACAATAGGATGAGTGTAAAACTGATAATTTACAATAAAAACTAAAATAAATGAAAGAAAAGACCTATACAAAGAAAACTATAAAACATTACTACAAGAGATCAAGTCATTGTTGTTATGTGCTGTAGAGTCAATTTGAACTCATAGAGACCCTGTATAGAGTTTCCAGGGAATTGCTGGTAGGTTTGAACCACTGTCCTTGCAGTTAGCTGTCTGCGCTTATCCTACAGCGCCACACCAGGACTCCAAGAAACCAAGAGACCTATAAAAATGGAAGCCTATATACCATGCTCATGCATAGGAAGACTTAACATTGTGAAAATGTCAACACTACCCAAAGCATATATAAAAAGATACAATGCAACCCCAATCCAGGTTCTAGCATCTTTCTTTAAAAGAGATGGAAAAACTAATCACCAACTTTATGTGGAAGGAAAGAGACCCAGATAAATCATTACCAAAGAATAAGAATGAACTAGAAGACCTCTCATTTCCTGATCTCAAAACATACTACACAGCCACAGTAGGCAAAACAGCCTGGTACAGGTCCAACAAAAGACACATAGATCAATAGATCTTACACAGAATTGAGATCTCAGAAGTCAATTCAGCTGATCTTTGACAAAGGACCAAAACACATTAAATGGGGACGAGCTAGTATCTTCCCCAAATGGTGATGGCGAAACTGGAAATTCATTTGCAGAAGAATGAAATAGACCCATATCTTACACATATATAAAAACGAACCTTATGTGAACTGAAGATGTAAATGTAAAATCTGTAACTATAATGGTCATCAGTGATAGAATAAGGACAAACTTACGGTCTCTGACATATGACGTAACTAAACTTTCAAACTTAACTGGAAATACACAAATAGCAGATGACAAACTACTGTGACCTCCTAAAAATTAGACACATGTGCGTCAAAAGATTTCACCAAAAGAGTAAAACGAGAACTCGCAGACTGGGAAAAAAGTTTTGACAATGACATATTAGGTAAGGGGCTATTATCTAAAATGTATAGAAGACTTCAACACCTCTGTAAGAAGACAGATAATCCAATTTAAAAATAGGCAGAGGACATGAACAGACTTCAAACATTCAAGCAGCCAACAAACATATGAAGAAATGTTCACGATCATTAGCCATTGTTGGTGTTGTTGTTAAGAGCCGAGGAGTCAGTTCCAACTCATAATGACCCTGTGTAGGGTTTCCGGTCAGCGGCTGGTGAGCTTGAACATCCGACCTTGCAGTTCAGACTGATATTGTAGTCCAGTGCAATAACCCACAGCGCCACACCAGGACTCCATTAGCCATTGGAGAGATGCAAATCAAACAATGACATATCATCTTACTCCAAGCATTAGTAGCAAAGTTTAAAAAGAAAAACAGAAAACAGGGGAAAAAAATGCTGGAGAGGGTGGGTCTGTAAAATGGTGCAACCTCTGTGGAAAATGGTATTGCATTTTCTCAGCAGCTTGGAAACAGAAATACAGTAAGAACCAGTAAACTCTTCACTTGGTATATATCCTTGAGAAATAACAGCCGAATAGATCTATGCATACCCATGTTCATATCAACACTATTCACAATAACAAAGAGAGGAGACAGCCTCCATGCCTATCTGCAGAGGAATAGTTGGACAAACTTTGGCACATACAC